GCAACAGATTTGGCTCTAAATAAGTATGAATACACGAGTGGGGAGTGCGCTCAGCTAATACTCAGTTTGTTGAACTGGGTCGAGGTTTACTAATTGCCATCGTCTCCGCTTTGACTCACTCTAGACCCGTCGTGCCGCCGCCAGAGCCCTACATGAACATGATGTATGACCGTCGCGTCATAAAAGGAAGCAACTTTGGTACTCCGTCAATGTTGGTGAGTGTTAAGACCGGCAGCAGCCCTGACCCATGAGTAATCGGTCTTTTTGGTTTGCAGGCGGATGTGGACCCATTCGACAAGGCTGCAGAGATACGGCGCCGCAATATGGTCCGCAAGCGATCGATGCAGTGCCGCAATCAGCGCAATGTCCTGGGCACACCACCGCCAGTGAAGGGCAGGAAACACGAAAATATACAGACGGAAAAATACTTGGAGAAACTGGTTCAACGTCCGCCAGAGTACTCAGTGGACACACAAACAGATTTGTTCCTGGAGAAGCCGCCTACGCCTCCATATGTTGCCGCCAAAGTGGGCGTCGATGTGAGCACCGAGATTGGCGACGGCGAACTATTTCACTTTGATGCAGAAGCTCAGCCGATTATTGATGTACTCGTGGATGCCTGCATAGAGCAGAGCATGCTGGAAGTGGCTCACGAAATGGAATTGGCTGCGCTGCGCCGCAAGCAGGAGGAGTATGTCTAAAAAAATTCGTTTTAAAAGATACAAGATATTAACACATTTCTCATTGCAGGTTCCTGGCTCAACGGGAGGCTGAGCTAGCCGAGCTGCGGCGTTTGGAAGCCGAGGAGTTGCGTTTGCAGGCTGAGAAGGATCGCCGCTTGCGCCAGGATGCCATTGCCAAGGAGCTGGATGTGGAGATGCAGAAGAGCGTAACGGCAGCTAAGTTGCTGCAGGGACACATTGCCAGCCTGTTGCCAGAGGTGCTGGAGAACATTGAGCCGGCCAGCGATGCAGTTAAGAAGGAGCAACTAATGAAGGACATCTGCCCCTGGCTATCTGCCGAAGTTGCCCAAGAAGTCGGCCACATTGTTGACTCTCGCGAGATACTCACAGCCATCATACTAGAGATTATTAAACAGCGTGCAGCTGCTTACATCGGCTACAAAGAAGAGGAATCCGAGCCAACAACGTCAGATGTCGGCATTTGTGAAGAGGAGGGATGCATGCTCGACGATATGGAGACATGCCCATGCGAGCCGGAAACTGAATATTCTGATTGTCCAGAGCCGCCGCCAGAGCCAGCACATCTGTAAGGACAGCAACAATGATAAATAAAATATGATTTGGTTAAATTAAGTTATGAGTTTGAGGCGCGCCCGTTGGTCGTTAGGTGCATACTAACAAATCGAAAGTGCAGCTTTGTTATTGTGTCTGGCAACAAGCGGGCGTGCCACGGCCGAATGTTGCCACACACAATTCCATTGGCGCGAATATTGTTGCATCAAAAGTAAGCAAATATTGTTAAAGGTTTATGTTTTACCGGAGTATTCAACAATAAAGTAAAAAAAATGAAAACTTAAACTTAGTTGCTGGAAGCCGTTACAAAACAGTGCTGTAAACCAAACGAAATTTTGGTATTTTCATGATATATTCGGTATTATTTGGCTTGCCTGTTTACAGTCACACCGAAAAATCAAAACAATCCAGCATGTCCAAAATATTCACACCTACAAATCAAATACGTCTTACAAATGTGGCAATTGTAAGGCTAAAGAAGGCTGGAAAGCGGTTTGAGATCGCCTGCTATAAAAACAAGGTGCTGTCCTGGCGCAACAACAGGTAAAATAATACAAACATGCAAGATATGCATGACTCACAAAATGAACCGATTTTCACAGCGAAAAGGACATCGATGAGGTGCTGCAAACGCACAACATCTTCACCAATGTGTCCAAGGGACAGACAGCTAAAAAAGATGAGCTGGTGAAGGCATTCGGCGATAAGGATGAAACCGAAATTTGTAAGGAAATCTTGAGCAAAGGCGAACTTCAGGTGTCGGAGAAGGAGCGACAGAGTGTGCTGGACACGCAGCTCAATAGCATAGTCAACAGCGTAGCAGCACTTTGCGTAAATCCCGAAACACGTCGTCCTTATCCGGCTTCCATCATAGAGAAGTCTCTGAAGGATGCACACTTCTCCGTCAAGATGAACAAGAACACCAAGCAGAACACACTGGAGGCAATCAAAATGCTGCGCGACCACATGCCCATAGAGCGCTCGCGCATGAAGCTGCGTGTGAGCTTTGCCGGCAAGGAGGGAGGCGGCAAGTTAAAGGACTCGGTTGTCAAGCTGGCCAACACCGTGGAGCACGAAGAATGGGAGGAATCAATGCTGCATCTGACGCTGCTCATCGATCCCGGCCAGTATCGCGTCATAGACGAGCTGGTACGCAACGAAACCAAAGGCAAAGGCCTATTGGAACTGCTCGAACTCAAGGAAGTTGTTGAGAGCGACGAGCTGTTCTAGATATCAAACGACTTGTATAAAATATATAGTTGATTATTAATGTTAACAAAGTTTTGAATGCATAAAGATTAAAACTGTAGGGCGTGTGTGTTGGCAGTTGCTTCACTTTCGCTTCTTCAAGTTTTCAAATCGGCGCGACAGTTCATCAAAGTCAATTTCATCGTCATCCTCGCGCTTGTCGCTGCCTGGCACATCCGGCAAATCGTTCGGCACGTTGGGCAGCGATGGCAAATCCATCGGTGGCGGTGCGCTGGGCTGCTCCGGTCCTCCGGGCGGCAGCTTTGAGCGAGGTTGAGGTTTCGGTTTGTTGGCATTCTGCAGCGAGAAAGGCAAATATAAGTACATGATTTTCTTGTGGCTCAGGAGTAAATATAAATGGTGTGCGTCGTTGCGACGTATCGGTCAAGAGCGAGTCGCTGACCTGCAAATTAACGGGGTTAATCGAGGAGTAACGTGGCGGTGGATCATTTTGCGGTTTGGGGCGCTGTTATGCAAAATAAAAAGTTCAGTAAATAAAATCATAAATTAATGAAATAATATATCATAAGCAGCGATTGCAGGGAGAATAGATAGCTGACACCACGACCATGACTCATTGTGTTCTCTACACTTACGCGCACATTCGAGACGGCACAAAGACAACGAGACAACAGAGCGACGATACGTTTGGGTTATAGTGAGTAAAAGGGGGTAAACGAAAAGCAAGTTAGTTTTGGACCATGTCCAGGCATACTACTCGTCGCTAACGTACCAAAATATTCTCGTCCGGACTGCCAGAGCCATCCGACTCACCGTTGTTGGTTTTAGTTTCGTGCTAAAGTAGCACAATCATGCAAGGACATGCAGAAAGCTCAGCATAGAAAATATAGCATTAACCATTAACTTACATTTATAAAATTCGTATTCAAATCCTTCTCTTCTGCGCACTTGCCCTGCGACGAAGTCGATGCCGGCGGCTGATTGGGCGGTATATTATATGCAAATGGTGGCGGCGGCTGAACCGGAGATGGAGCGGCACAGGCTCCTGCAATACCACCAGCACCAGCACCACCACCGCCGCCGCCGCTACCACCAAAGGGCGGATAATTAAATGGCTTACTGCTGGGCGGCATTGGCATATCTGGCAACTGTGGCATTGCTGGGTAGCCAATGAAGCCCATTTGGGGTGGAGCAGGCGCACCACCGCCGCCGCCGCCGCCACCACCACTAAGATTATTGCGATCTGACAAATCGATGAGATGATGCTGCTGATCAGGCTTTTGTTCCTCCTGCATGACCTGTGGATCAGGCTCGTATTCGATGTTGTAGTTCTTGGCAATGGCTATTAAGTAGTTCTCCACAAGCAACTTGGGCGGCGCCTGGAGCGTCAGCTTGTGCATCAGCTTCTCCGAGACAAAATGCTCACCGGTGGCGGTGCGCGAATGCTCCGCAAACTGTGGCCCATACTTATGGATAAAGATGTCAGAGATAACCTTCAGTTCGCCAATGTCGCTCTGCAAGCGAGGGCACACCCAAACAAGGCTGGACACCGGCTCGGCTATGCCAGCATCCAGTTCCTTCATTTGCTGTATCAAGCCAAAGCGTGCCAGCAACAGATCGCAGTACATTTCCACAATTTCCATGGCCTCCACCAGATAATCCTCACTGTAAATGGTTTAGAATATATTCAGACCTGTCAGCTGGCCATTGGAATTGGCGAGTAGCCTACCGTATAATATGCTCCACTCGTATGCGTGCCCGTTCTATTTTACCCGTTGCGAGGTAGTCGGCTATTTCCTTGCGGGACTTTTGTGTTAGCTCCGCCTTCTTTTTTTCTAGCAACTTGAGACGATTCTGCGCTAGGCGCAGATTTGTCTTCAGCTTGTTATAGTTGGGGCCACTGGAGAACATCTTGTCACCTGTAGCTGAATTCAGTCAGTGTCTACTATTTACTATAATTTTCTCTTTATGGATGATTCACTTGATTAGGGAAAAACAAACTCTTTGTGTGACGTCACGAGCTGGTGTTGCCAACTATTGGGCACAAAATACATTAAATTTTGCTTAACAAAAAAACCGTTGTGAAGTCTAATATCAAAGATTCACCCAAAAAAATATTCACCAAAAATAATAATTTATGATAAACTTTTGAATTGTCACAACTTTCATGCTATCTTACCTCATCTTTTCTTAGAAAAAATGTAAAAAAATGTTTGTAAATAATGTTTGTAAGTAATCTTATTAAAAAAAAGGTTTGTTTTATTGTTTAATGCATATGCACGTAATTTTATTATTATACGCTTTTTAACAACTACATGTATGCGTAAATACCAAATTTTAAAAATATAACTATAATTTAATAAGAAATTAAAAGAGAGAGCGATCAGTATCTATATAATGTAAGGGATTTTATCAAAATACTTTCTACTCAACACCCTTTAAGTATACACCGAAGTATGCAGCCCTGCCAACTCGGCCGAATTGTGTTGCTACGTATTTTTACCACACTACTATGCTGTGTGTTGTTGCTTCATCTTCCTCTTCAAAATAATTCGCAAGAGCTGCGCGCTCCTTTCGCGCTGCACAAGACTTCGTTCAAATTGCCATTAATTCGGATTTTAATTAACAAAACAATTAGTGCATTAAGACAAGAAAACCATGCGTACCATGGGTTTTATAAAGGCAAAAGTGTCGCACGCGCGATTAGTCAAGAAAATTGTGAAAATTAAGAAAACTCCAGTGATAAGTGGCTTTCGGGCATTTAGTGGTCCCACAAAATTCACTCTGCGCCCTACATGCCAACTAGAGGTACCACTATACATTAGACGTAAACGCGCCAGAAGCAGACGTCGATAAAAGTGCAAAACAAAACACAACGCTGAAAATATTTGTAAACAGCTGTCGGCCAAACAGCCGCCAGATGGCGCCACCTCGCCTCGCTTGTTGGCATTGCCAGCTGCAAGTAAACGCCATATTTGATTCTGCCTCGTCGCTTTGGTGTTTGTTAAAGAAAGCGAATTTTCATACAAACAGCATAATTTGATGCTGATGCATATTGTGACTGAAGTTTAAAAATAAAAGAAAATGATTTGAATATTACGTGCGAATGAGTGTGTATTTTATATCGTGAGTTGTAAGGCGTAACAGCAACAACAACTGGCCAAGGCCCAGAAAGGTAAAAAAAGATGATGCGAAAAGGAAAATTGCGCTGCTGCCTTACGAGGCATGTGACGTCACAGACACACACGCACTCACTGCGTACAAAATAATTCATGGCACAATACTAACTACAACGTTACAACGTGTCCCCTTTGCAGCGTTCGCCATGGAACAATACATCGTACATAGCAACAGTGAGGACATGGAAATGAAGCCCGTCTACTCGGACTTGCAAGTAGTGCAAGTACCGCACGACGAAGTCAGTGTAAGTACAATAACATCTCAGCTCAGAGCTGAACTCTGACTTAAAGCATCTCGCCCCGACAGTCCCTCGTCCTGCAGGACGATCAGCAACTGGTGTTCAGTGATCAGCAGCAAGTTGTCTACCAGACCGCCGCCCCCGCGCAGTATCAACAACCGCAGCAGACGACAACCGCGAGTCACTACATTATAGGCGCCGAGCTGCAGCAGCAACAGCAGCAGCAGCAGGAAGTGCAGCAACAACAGCAGCAGCAGGTGGTTATGCACCATCAGCATCAGCAGGTGCACTACCAGCAGCAACAGCAGGAGGTGCAGCAGCAGCAGCAACAGTTGCGTCTGGAGCAACAGCAGCAATATGTGCAACAACAACAACCCGCCATTCAGCACACGCAGCAAATCTATTACACATCAGACCAAGTGCTTCAGCCCAATACCATTGTGCAGCATGCATCCATGCAGCAGCTGCAACAACAGCAGCAACAGAAGAAACAGCAGCAACAGCAAGTGCTGCAGCAGCAACATCAGCAACAGTACCAACAGCAGCAGCAGCAGCACACCGCCTATCAACAGCAAACTACGTCGCTGGTGCAAACCACTCCTCAGCAGCAGCAGCAGTTGCTACAAAGCCCACAGCACCAGCAGCAAACGCTGCAGCTGCAAACGGCACCAGCGCAACAGCAACAGCCGCAACAGCATCCGCAGATTGTCTACCGCATGACGACCACGCAACAACAGCAGCGCCAAATAAGCGTAAGCATTTTGAATTAGACACCTCCTAAGAACCTTTTATGGCTATGGGTTACGGACATAAGCAATTCCTTTCGGGCACAATAATGTATGTGTATTAGGATCGGGATTTTCAGTAAAACACCTGCTCAAAGCTTTATAGATTTTCCAAAAACTAATAATTTGACCTGTTAAATGAGTAAAAGACCGTAATTGAATTTATTAGATTTGTTTGCAAATTTAATTTACCTTTTTGAAATTAGTTCATTTTACTTTGGTCGCAATATTGATTTTTAAAGAGCTGCGCGTTTCACACCTGAGTATAATATTTATAGACAAGAAAAAAGAGAAGAGATAAGATCTTAGCAGGAGCTCCTAACTCGACGAGCTTAAAAGGGAAACTGAAAGTAGTTTATGACAGTAGAATGATAACTTCGAACCGATACATCAAAGGCGGAGTTGATTATTAGAAATCGGCATAATCGTAACGAGCAGTTAATCTTTATTATGACAGCTCGCTCAGCCTACGAAAAGTCGAACTTAATACTTTATTATTCAACAAATGAGAAACAACAAATAATTCATTAAGAAAAACATCCAAGTCCTAATGACTGCCCCATATTAGTCTCAGTTTCTCTGGTTTCGGAAATGCATTGATATTATTTAGGTTTATGTGTGAGTTGTGTCGACAAAGAAAACAATATATAGACTAATGCGAATGATTTGCTTGCAGATGCTCAACAACACGCATGTGATTGTGCAACAGCCGACAGGACAGCAGGTGTTGATACAGGCCCCGCAGCACCAGGAGCTGATTATGCGACAGGCCACTGGCATTCCACAGCAGGGTATCAATATTCACGCGTACAACAATCGCGTAGTGTACACTACCTCGCCCCAGCAGCAGCAACAACAGCAGCACGTACTGCAACAACACGTGCAACAGCAACAGCAGCAGCAACAACAACTACATCTACAGTCCCAAACCACACATCTTGTGCAGACGCGCGTCGTGCCGCAGCAAACGGGCAACGTCGTCTATCAGCAAGTGCAATTGCCCAAAGCGCCACTACAGCAGCAACAACAGCCACAGCCACAGCAGCAACAACAGCAGCAACAGCAACAAGGACAGGTGCAGCAGCAGCCACAGCTAGTGACCACAGGCACACAACTGGTGCGTTCACCATTCCGGGGTAAAGCAACACGTGGAAGTGCCGTCATTGCCAGACAACCCATTGGTACTGCGGTAACAACGCGTGCGGCTTTGGCGCCCACTCTTGTGCGGCAAATGCGACCTCGTGGCGGCCTTCAGACCGTGACTGGTGGCATTATGAGAAGTGTACGGCAGCAGGGCGTGCGACCCACTCGCACGCAGCTGGTGGTGCAGACAAGCGCTGCCGGCGAGGGCCAGACAATGCAGCTGGTGACCCAGCCACAGATGGCCAAGCAAATAACTATAACGAATCTTGGCCAGCCTACAGTGACGGCGCCGGGTCAGCAAATGCAGCCGCGTCATATATATCGCCAAGTGGTCAGCGAGCCGTCTGCCAATGCCCAGCAGCAACACCAGCAGATGGTCGTGATGCGTCAACCGCCGTTGCGCTATCGGACCGCTTCGGCGCCAACGGCAGCTGCGCCCGCACCGAATAGTAACACGATGGGCTTGGATCTGGAGGAGAGCATACAGGCGGTGGTGGTAAAGAAAGAGCAACAGCAGCAAAAGCCGGCGACGACCAATCTGCCCATTCAGCTCGCAACGGGCGGCAACACCACGTTGACTACCTACTACCAGCAGAGCTCGGCCGCCAACAGTAGCAGCGAAGAGGAGCAGCAACAACAGCAGCCGTCACAACAACAACAACAACAGCAACTACAACAGGCTCAGCAGCCTGGTGTGCGTACTGCCAGCGGATCCAGCATGAGCCTGGCGGAATACAAGAAACGGCAAACTATGGCAAGTTCACCGGCTCCGACAGCCACGGGCGCCGCTGGACTCACACCCATGCGAACGGCAGCACCTGCCACTCTGGTGCGGTCGGTGCCCAAGTTGACGCAGACGGCGGCGCAGTCTCAGGGAACACAGCAGCAGCAACAGCAGCAGCAGCAACAACAGCAACAACCCAACGCTGCTGCCGCACCGCGCATTATGCAGCCTCAGCAGCGGGTACTTGCCACAGCGCCGACCCAGCCGCAGCCGCAAGCGTCGTCCGTGCAACAAACGTCGCACAACAACTACGAGATTCATTCGCAGCACGTTCTGAATAATCGCGCCGGTCAGCCCATTGCGGATCGCGATCGCAACAGCGCCAAAATGTTGGTCATTCTCGCCTCCGGGGAGCAGCGTCTGATTACGTTTACGCTGCCGCGGGAGTCGTGTACCGTGCAGGATCTGCTGGAGCAGGTTTGCGTGCCTTTCGACAATAGCACCACCATCCAATGCGTGGAGCATCACGGCGCCAATGTCGACTTCGTAGTCACCGTGGGCTTTTCCGTCAACGAATCTGCCAGTGAACTGATTTCACGCGCTGAGGAGAGTCTCCAAATGAATCGACAGCAGGAGAACGCCGCCGCGGCAGCAACTACAACGCCTGCCTACAATCAACAGCCGACAACAGCGGCCAATGCAGCAGCTGCCGAGCAGGTTAAGCGAGATGCAACAGCCGCCGGCACAGGCACCACCTCCACGGCTGCGATTGCGCCAGCGGAAGGACCCAAGCTGATTGACGGCTTCTATGCCGTTTGCCAGCTGTGCGGCTTTACGGGCATGGACCATGCAAAGTGTGAACGATGTAAACGAGTTTTCCAGGAGCCGCCCAAGCGTAAATCCTATGTCACCAAGTCTTCGAATGCGTCCGTGGCCTCCATAGCTGGCGCAGGCACATTGGCGGGTGAGCCGGCGACGGCGGCAGACAAGAAACGTGAACTGGCGCGACTCAACAAACAGGTGGGCGGCGTTGGCGGCAATTTCGCGCCTGGCTCTAGCAACGTGCGGGGCAGGGGCATGGCGATTAGAGGCGGACGTACGCGCAGCGGTCGGCGAATGGCCGAGGCGGATCCCGTAGTGTTGCTCAGCAGTGAGGATGAGGCTGAACAGGACGAGTCCAATGGCGATGCTGGCAATGTAAGTAAAGACAACAGTTTTTCTGAAAATATTGACGTAACATGACCATTTGCCTCAGTTTCCCACCACCAATGCCAAACGTAATTCTAATGGAAGTGTTCATCAACTGCCTGCCGCATTTGCCTGTGATCCAATACTGCCCGAAGTGGATGAGGAAGCATTATACAAAGGTAAGCGAACAGCAAAAACGTTAAAATGTAAATTTCAATTTAAACTGGAATTTCATAGTAGGAGCATTAGGCTTTATTGATCTTGAGGTTTTTAATTCAAAAGGCGCACTTTATCTCTATAGTTTTTGCATCCCTGGTTTTGACAAAATTACTATGTATATGCCTGTGCCGTAATTTGATGTTGGCAATGATTTGCCCACGGTTGCATTTGCTGTACAAGACGCTAGATGGCGCTCGAACACCACGCCATTTTTCATACAAGAGAGTAGAAAGAAGAAGAATAACGCAAGGCGAATGCGTATTGGAGAAGTTCCTAACTTCTGCTGCATTAGAATTTGATATTTGTTGTGCACTTTTGACTAGATTTTTTTTAGTTTGTTATGAGTTTGACGCAATAACTTATTTTAAAAGCAAATAGTTAAACAATGAGTGATGAAGGTAAGCGGCATAGACAGCAATAAACTACAAGTGAAAAAAATGTGACTGACAGCCGCCACTGCGGCAAACAAATGCAGCCACATGTATTGAAGAAATAAAACCAAATCAATTATAACTCAAACTGTATCCAACCTTATATTCCAATGCAGACTTTGTACGCGGAGATGTTACTGATCTGTCCGATATGCCCGATGGCGAAACATTTACCACCGAACTGACCTGCAAATGTCTGCGCCTGATGCCCTACCGTTTTATGATAACCGAACCGGTAAGTGGCCATCTCCTACTCGATTTTTCAAAATGCTAATTACGTGTTGCCTCTACCTAATGTAGGTTACCTTTACCTCAAAGGGAGTGCGCTTGGCCGGAGTGCTACCGGACAAGGACGAGAAGTTTGTGCTGCACATATATAAGCACGAGGTGATCAAGGTTATTGCACACTTTGCCAGCTACGAGCAGGCGCAGCCGCTGGTCACGCTCTACATGCTGAAGACCTGCGCTCAGTATGTAAAGTCGCAGCTGCAGCTGCCCGAAGATGCGCCCAATGAACGTAAGTAGCGAGTTGCAAGCCCTGTTATGGAAGCCAGTTATTTACGATTCCTATTTCTCCTTGCGATTCTTCTACAGAGTTCGGCGTCAAGTGGCACGGCAGCTTTCACGAGCGCCGCTTAATACTGCTCTTTGATACGATCAGTTTTTCGGCTCGCGAGACCCTCAAATCTATGTTTAGTTTTCTGGATGAAATCTCATCGCGTGATGCGGCGGAAATATTGGAGCGTATCGCGGAATCAGATCGCAAGGCACTGGACAAGCCCACACAGCTGGCACCGCGACAGCTGCGTCCTGACGAGCAGGTCAGTCTGCTTATGTACCCGCCCAAGGGCACGGGCGGACTATGCATACGCATGGAGGATTACGTTTGCCTAACCAAGGAGTCGTACTTGAATGACATTATCATTGATTTTTATCTGCTGTGGCTGCGCAACACACTCATACCAGAGGCTCAGCGCGAGCGCACTCACATTTTTAGCACATTCTTTTACAAGCGCCTGACAACGCTAACTCGTCCAACGGACGTAAAACAGACTGCGGCACAGAAGCGTCATGCACGCGTCCAAAAATGGACAAAACTAGTTGATATATTTGATAAGGATTTTATCATAGTGCCTATTAATGAGCAATCGCATTGGTTCCTGGCCATCATCTGTTTCCCCTGCCTAAAAGGCCCCGTCACCTTCGACACCAATCAGCCTGTGGAGCCGCAACACCTAAAGCGTCCGCGCGGCAAGAAGGTCGCTCTGCAGATTGGGAACACAACAATTACGCCGCTGTCCAAGCGGGAGACAGTCACTCTGCCGGCCATGCCCAGCGAAATTTGTCGAATTGCCGACGACGAAAGCGAACGTGATGAGGCTGAGGGCGATGACAGCGATATGGCATCTGAGGTTAGTGAGAACTCGAATCCACCCATCAGCAAGGAACCGGCAGCAGCGCCAGCGGCAACGCCAGCACCCACGACGACAACGCCGTCTTCTGGACCCGCACGAGCAAGTAACGACGACGTGCCGGCTGTGAAGCAGCCTTTGATTTTAATCTTTGACTCTCTGGCGGGTGCCTCGCGCAGTCGAGTGGTGGCCACGCTGCGCGATTATCTGACATGCGAATACAAGGTGAAGAAGCCGGATGCGCAGGCGCACATTTTCAACAAGGATAACATGCCGGGACATTGCGTCAAGGTGCCGCAACAGAACAATTTTACCGACTGCGGCCTTTATCTGCTGCAGTATGTGGAGCATTTCTTCAAGGATCCGATTAAGGATTACAGACTGCCCATCAAGCAGCTTACCAATTGGTTCGATTATCTTACCGTCACCAAGAAGCGCGAGGACATCGCCCAGCTGATACAGCAGCTGATGGATGACAGCAACACACAGCAGCCGCGGCTCATTTTGCCAGTAATCGAGTTTCCCACTCTCAATGGCCAGTTGGTTGAGTATCCCGAGGAGACGGAGAGCGCCGAGTTTGAGGAGGAGGAAGGACACGAGGACGAGGAGCACGCTAGTGATATGGTAAGAAGCCCCCTCAACAGGCAATCCTCATGAAGAGATATTAATTACGCCTCTACATTCTAATGTGACAGCATGAGGACAGCACACCCACTGAAATGGATGTGGATCCCACGGCCGAGGAACTGCAGCAGGCACAGGCGTCGAAGGCGTCCGCTCAAACCGTGACAACAACTACGACAACTACCAGCCCCACTGTGATGACAGGAACCACGGCGCGCAGATTTGTCCTCAAGCGTCGCCTGCAAAACGGTGCCTCCGCTTCGCCAAGCAATGGCAATGGAGCGAATGCCGGAGAGAACAATAACAGTAACCAGGTGGTGATGCCACATCTGGTCAGCACTTCCCCCCTCAGCAACAGCAGCAGCACACCCAGCTCCCTCATAGCAAAAGGGGTTGCCGCCAGCGTTGGCACTGGCAGCCTTAAGATTCGCAAGATCGAACCGTAGCACTCGGGTGCAGACCCTGTTGCAGACATGCCTCCGTTGCAGCTGCTGCAGTTGTTGCGCCCATTGTAAATAATAAAAATAAAAAAATTTATTATACAAACATTAAAAAATAAATATGCCCAACATTTCTTAAATTAATGATAATTATAAAAAACAAAACTCGTCAAATATATTGAATAATGAAGTTACACGGAAAACTCCATTCATTTGTGCAGAAAATATCAAAGTGCGCTTGTTTTAATGCTCTTGCAATTTGTGTGTGGGTGTGTGAACTTTCAATTTCTAATGCCCATCTGCCGCCCTTGCCCAAGAACCAGTTTGCGTTCGCCATGTAAGCTAGAATGTCTGCCATGTATACATCTGCCATAAGCTTACGTGTTTACATGGTGAGACTTCCATAGACACTTCCAACTAAACTCAATAATAACTCGAAAGCGGATTTGCCTGCAATTTCTGGCGAGCTTCCTTATATATTTAAGTAGCCGCACTGTGAAAATCAAATAGAAATTAGCGTACTTTTTGGTGCGTGCACCCTGGGGCAGTTGCCATGTAGTTGATTAAGAATACATGGCAAGCTACATGAAACGCACACATACACATACATGCACATGCATACGTCATGTATTGTTCGGCCTCAAAAGTTGGGTTATGTTCACAGCAGCAACAGCGGTGTGAGACGCGGAGGCTGAACAACGAATGACGTGCACAAAGCAAATGAAAGAAACGCGCCCACCCTACAAGTTTGAATTGTAAATAAGTATTGGCGTTGAGCAGAAAAAGTTTAAACGAATTATTTGATGTGGCATAATTTAATATGTTTAATGTATAATACATTTACTTTTATTAAGTTCAATAAAAGCAACTAAAATACGCCATAGTATTAATTGTTGCTTGTTGCATACAATGTTCTTTAGAGTGGAAGACTGCGGTAAGCCTCTTAATACCAAATGTTGAATACGCAATTTAGAAGAGAACATTTTACACGCTTTTAATTCCCCAAATACGTTTTAATTGTTATGTTTACTGTATTAAATTTATCGATAACAAATCAGCTGTTCTGTTGATAAGCAATTACACAACTGTTGCTTGTTCAGGCCGTTTTAAAAAGTTTGGTCACTTTGGACACCAGACGCTTCTCAGGAGTTATTTTACAAATTGCCCTAGGGAAATTTTTCGAAAGAGACCAAAAATTTCCTTTTGCTTATCAGCCGCACTTGACTGCAAAAAGATTGGTAAGTAAATTATATACAGAAAAAATAGACCATTTTTTAAATTTGATTTTTTTATTTCATGATTTGTAGAGTTGTACGTCCATTAAATACTGTACAAGATAATCACAGCTGAGGGGTGAATTCAGTCTTCCATCTGTTTAAAGCCCATTGTCATCCAGTTGCCTCCAGTGCTTTGCCAGGATCTGCAACAGAAGAAAAGAAATAAAAAACAAAAAAAAAAAAAATTTTCCTAACAGTCCAAATGTCTATTTCAGGTGTCTTGCAGTCTTTTGGTCTCTGGCTCCACAAGGGAACCGAAGTCTTGGCAGTCTTAGAAAAATTGCAGTTTGGGAAATATCAATGTGAAAAGTCGATTGGACCAGAATATAATCGTCTAATATTTTTAATTTCTGGAGAGCCAACAGGTTCAAAATATACATCATATCAAATAAGTATTATATACTCAAAGCGTATGTATATCTTTGGATGTTTTGAACCTCTTACGAATTAATTTTTCTGGTCTCATTTTGTAGTCGTTCTGTCGCTGAAAGACAGAAATATTACAGATTTAGCATGGGTTATGCTCTTGTCTTGGGTGTTAGCTTGCGGTCCGGTTGTTAGATTTGATATTAGATTTGAATCGTTTTTAAAAACGATTTATTTATATATATAAATATAGTATGAGTGCTGTTTGCTTAAGGGGGCTGCGGAGTGCGGGGCGTGACTCGACTCCGACTTCGCATGGAACGTTCGATTTTCAACTCTTTGGTTGCTTTCTTCTGACTAAAAGTCCAACTCTCGTGTGGGGGAAGCACCGGGGGTTAAAAGCACACACACACATTACACACACGTCACTGCTTTGATTTTTCATTAACATTGTTAACGGTACGTTCTTGTTGTGCTGTTGTAGGTTGTTGTTGTAGCGTCTTTTAAATAAAGTTCACGTTTTGTGCTTGATATATTTTTTTTCTCTCTTTTCTGTATTTTTTTTTCGTTTTGTTTTAAAATATGTATTAGATGATGTTTTTTTTTTTTTTGTAATTTGCTTATTTTGTAAGTTTGTTTATATCATAGAGAACTTTCGCATGACAAATAGCTAGGCAAAAGAGAGAGTGAGAGTGTAAGAAACAGAGAGAGAGAGAGAGAGAGAGAGTTGGAGTGTTGTGTATAAGAGACGAGCTGTTCGTACGATTGGATTTGTATAACGATTATTGGCGCTGGGGCTGTGTGCGTGGGTCCAGCTGCTCACTTAGCTTACATTTCATTTATGATTTTCATTGCATTCGAAGACATCTTCGTTTCTTCTACTTTTCTAGTTTCACACGCGACCGTTGCGACACTTTTCTGTGCATCATTTCTTGAGGAGGAGGAGGTTGGGAGGATTTTCGCGCACTTTTTGAATACCCGTAAACAATACTCAACGACACACTCAACGTCTGCCGTCCCGATAGCTGCGTTGCCCCCCACCACCGCCGCCGCCGCCGCGATCGCCACGAAATTGTCGCGAGGATCCGCTACGATTGCCGCCATACTCGCGTCGTCGACCGCCCACGGAGCTGTTGTTGTTGTCCCGGTTGCCTGCACTGATACCCGGCACGTTTGGCCCGCCCACGTTGCCACCAGCTGCATTGCTGCTGCCACTGCCGTTGGCAGCGTAGACCGGAAATCCAGGTGGAGCCGAAACTGTGGGCAGACCGGCATTTTTCCAGGCCGCAAAATCCTCGTAGCTGGGCGCCTTATCGAAACCCGGCGGCGGTGGTCGCATTGGCTGTGGCGGCGGGTAGTCTGGCAGCGGCGGCGCTCCAGGTCCATCATAATACCGCACCGGTGGCGGCAGTTGCTCGTACATTGACGCTGGTGCGCCCGGTGGTAATGCGTTGGCAGCTCCTGCAGCCGAGGGCATCGGCAACTGGCCAAAGGGCGGCACAAACGGCAGCGGGGGCAGCTGGCCGTGCATGTTGCGTATGTAGTCGGCCACATAGGCCTCGGCAGCAGCGGCCGAGGACATGTAGCGCTCCCACGAGGGCATGCCCATGTCACCGGGACCAGCTGCACCGCCAGCCATCTGGCGGTAGGGTGAGCCACCACGCTTGAAGCCGCCGCTGCCGGGCATGCCCATGCCCATGCCATGGTGATGATGATGCCGATAGGGTCGTTGATGATGATGTGGTGCGCCATGTCCATAGCTGCGCTTGTGCCGCATCGGTCCGAGCTGGCTGTTGCCACGACCGCCGCTATGGCCCCGCGTGGAGAGGCTGCGTGGCGCCTTGTAGATGACATGGATGCCCTTCTCGCGCATCACACGCGCCGTTTCCTTGGATTTCCGCAGAATGGGCGTCAATTCGATTTGTTCGTCCTCGGGAAACAGGCGGCACAGCTCGGCGCCAATTTTGGGCTCAATTTCCTGGCCATCACGTCCAATCTTTACCGGCTTGCCCTCGTTCCACGAGTTGTGCAAGTGCAAGGTGGCATTAAACGACAGCTCCTTGCGACATATCCAATCCAGCTCGATGACGCCGCCCAAAGCCTTGGGCGAAATGCTGGGAGGCAGCACCCAGGCCACCTGCGGTATATCCCTACGCGAAGGCGCAGCCATGCGCGCAAAGCCCGCGAATTTACCTATCAGATCAGATATAAACGGGGAGAGAGGAAAGAGAGAGTTTTAGCTACCCAAACGAAATCCCAGCTAGCCCGCTTACCGCTCTCATTGACGGAGAATATGAGCAGCACGTTGCGCGCCTCCTTGAAGGCCTGACTCAGATTGGCATCGTTCTGGGGCAGCGTCGCCCAGACGCTCTTGCTCTTGGACAGCTGCACGTTGTCGCTGTTGTTGGACTTGATCAGAAAGAAGCGGGTGTCCCGAAATAGATAATTCAGCTTAGTCATGTAGTCATAGGACTTTTGGGTGTTGCCACCGCCATCCTTTTCCGGTGTGGAGCCCTTCGAGCTGTTCGCCATCGTCACCTTGCTGCGCGCGCCGCCATTCCGTTTGTGCTGAGTGCCCGAATCTGAATCGGAGGACTCACTATCCGACTCGAGTGCGGGCAAGAGTGAGGGTTTCTCATCCTCCGCATCGCTAAGATCGCTCTTGTTGCCGCTGGCACCCGCTCCACTCAGATTGGCTGCCGTGGAGCTGCTGCTACTGGTGGCTTTCTTGCTGCGCGTTTTTTTGATGCTCGGCTCACGCTCCTCGCTGTCCTGCGACTTGGAGTTGGCCTTCTCATCTGTCTCGACGGGCTTCTTCGACTTGGACTCGCTGCCGCTGCTGTTGGACTTTTTCTTTTTACCATTAAGGTCGCCGGGGGATGCGGCACGCTTGGTTTTCTTAGAAGATTTGCCCTTGCTAGTAGATGCAGCTGTTGCAGTTGTTGACGTTGCGGGTTTGGCAGCAGTTTCTTTGCTTGCTTTACTACTAGACTTGGTTTTGGTCAGCCGTTTGCTGCTCCTGCTGCCCACGGAGGACGGAGCCGTACTTACCGAGCTGATGCTTGGCTCCGAGTCGGAGGCCATGGAGCCAGCTCGCGATTTGGACGCCTCACTGCGCGTGTCGAACGAATCGAAATCCTGCAATTCCTCGGCAATATCCGCTTCATTCTCATCCAGGCCGAGATGTACTGCATCTAAATCGGCCATGTCGCGCATTAGCGACTGCTGCGCTTATCCTATTTGACGCAATAAACGGTACTCTGTTTGTTTACCTTCCCACAGTGTTTTGTTGCTGTTACTGTTGCTTTTGTTGTTATTGTTGCCTGCTTGTAGTACTATGGACTGCTTGGCGGCGGCTTCTCTACTCCTCTTCTATGCGCTCCTTCATTCAAGCGCGCATGAATGAGACAGCAATCGGAGCAGCGGAAATAGACATAGAGAAAAAATGCCAATCGATTTAGCAAACCGAATCTGCAAAACCCAATTTGCAAATTGCACAGTGTCCAACACTCACTTTCTGCACGCTGCGTGCTAGTATACGCAGTAGATTTGCGCCCACTTTATTGCACTTTTTGTGTATTTTTCACTGCTTTAATTTACCAATTAAGAAGAACAAATCTTTAACAACGATTTTGCGTCAACAGAGACAAGAGACCAATGGCGGCAGAGGAGTGCCGCTATATGTATACAAGCGCAATGCAGAGTTGTTTTGGACTTACCATCAAAATTGTATCTACCGACCGGCAACAAGTTATCGAATGGCTTGCCGCTTTTTTGCTTAGCTTATTGCTTGGCAGGCTAAACTTTAAATACATTTTAAAGGGTCTTTTAATATAACTTAATTATAAGTAAAATTTAAAAATTTAATAATCAACAGCAAATAGTATACTTTTTATTGTTATTCCATTTAATTTTACAATTATTTTTCTGTTTTTTGATTTCAACAGCGACTAGTAGCAAAAATAGTATGCTTACTTATCTTGATCTTAAGCACTTCCTAAGCAAACATAAAAAAACAATCATCATTTAAATCTTATTGCTACTGCTGGCAGTTTACGGACGTTACATTTAAATGATGACGCATGCATTTGGCGTGCGTATCATTGTGCTCTGGTCCATTCGATAACAGAGCTGACCAGCTGATTCATCGATAGGCAGAAGAAAGCAATACAAACAAAGGGCAGGCACAAGCTGACACAATAAAAACAACACAATAACAATAGCTAATTAAAGCTAAACAGCAAGTATTAAACACGGTGAGTCATCGAATAAACGTGCAAAGGTTTATTCTCCACCATGTCCGAGAACACAGCAAAAGAAGCCGAACCACCCAGCTACGAGGAAGTCATGAGAGGCAGTGCACCTCCCATGCAGGGTGAGTTAACGAATGCCAAAGCAAAACACGTAAACTGAATTACACCAATTATTGCAGATGCCCGACTGATAACTGGCGTACATCAGGGCGCGCCGACAGCACCACCGAACATGGCCAGTTATGGAGCATTTGAGACAACGCCAGTTAGTATTGTGGTGCAGCCAGCGCTGCCCACAGAGATCATAGTGATCGGTGCGTGCCCGTCGTGCCGCATTGGCTATCTGGAGGACACATTCTCGCCGCTGGGTTTATGCTGTGCAATATTTCTCTTTCCCATAGGCATTCTCTGCTGCCTGGCGATGCGCGAGAAGCGCTGCAGCAATTGCGGAGCGACATTTTAGGTGGAGGCGCTGCGCCGCCTGGTTAACTCTCAATGATCTGAAAGATCTGTAACTATTCCCTGACACATTGGACTGTTAAGTTTTTAAAATCACACAATCAAATTATGCTAACTGGTTAGCTTGTTAATCATTAAACTCGATGTATGTATGTATGTATGTATATGCACATGTATATATCTGTAAATACGGATATCTTAGGCTTTCATGAGGCGTCTGCTGCCCGGAATCAGACTCGCCCAAACATTACATTCCATTTGCGATGTCGCCGTTGTTGTGGACACAAGGCCCGCTTCCGTCAAATTTAATTGAAATATAATGGGGCGGTTTTGAATTACGCCGCTTGTTTGCTCTTGGCTGCCTCCTCTTTTTTATTTTTGCTTGCATATATGTTTTTGCTCTTTGTGAAACGTAAACAAGTGAAAATTCAAGTATAGCATGCACGACCCGCGCATGCCCTGTAAATAAATAAATTATTAGTCACCCTCCATAACTATCCATTAGTTAATTCTACTATAAAATGATAAATAATAGACCTACTTTCTATTCGAATTGCTGCAACAAAGTTATATTAATAGCCACCCATCCAGTTCGGTTTGCCACAAGCCTTTGCAGCTAGCTTATATGCCCTTCTGTGTATATTTAATCAGCAGCTCAGTGTAGAACAAAGTCGCCGGCATTCACATCCGCCGCACGGGCATCTTTCAGACTGCAGTCGCAAAAGTCTCTCGCGTAGACATGTCCAATATCTCAGCTCTGCTGCTGCTGCTCCTGCTATGGACTACGCTCCTGGCTGGAACAGTGTTAGCCTCCACCCGCTACAATGTGGTAATGGTAATCTTTGACGATCTGAGGCCGGCTTTGGGTGTTTATGGCGATAGACTGGCGCAAACGCCACACCTGGATGCCTTCGCCCAGGGCAGCAGCTATTTTACACGCGCCTACAGCCAGGTAAGCCTCCAGGACTACTCCCAAGCCACCTTCTGATCGATTTGTCCAATAGCAAGCGCTGTGCGCACCCAGCCGCAACTCCCTGTTGACCGGGCGACGTCCAGACACGTTGCATCTGTACGATTTCTACAGCTACTGGCGCAGCTTTGTGGGTAACTTTACGACTTTGCCGCAATACTTCAAGGAGAACGGCTATTACACCTACAGCTGTGGCAAGGTATTTCATCCGGGCCTTTCCTCCAACAACAGCGACGACTATCCCATAAGCTGGTCAGCGCCAGCATTTCGTCCACGCACGGAGCAGTTCATGAACTCTCCGGTCTGCCCAGATCATGGCGGGGGCGTGCTGCGCAAGAATTACCTGATATGCCCCGTGCAGCTGCAAACGCAGCCATACAAAACGCTGCCGGACATCGAATCCGTGACGGAGGCAATGCGTTTCATAGATTCGCGCAAACGCAGTCGCCAGCCGTACTTTTTGGCGCTGGGCTTCCACAAGCCGCACATCAATTTCCGTTTTCCCAGGCAGTTTCTTGGGCGCTTCCCTCTGGCACCTTTCTACAACTATACGGAGGATGCTGTGAAGCCGCCAGATATGCCCGACGTGGCCTGGAATCCCTATACGGATGTGCGCTCACGCGACGACTTCAAGCACAAGAACATATCCTTTCCCTACGGGCCCATTTCCAGACAGCAGGCGGCACAGATCCGACAGGCCTACTACGCCTCCGTGGCCTATGTGGACGATCTGTTTGGCAAGCTGATGGCCCGCTTGGATCTGGAGCGCACAGTGGTTGTCGTACTGGGCGATCACGGCTGGTCGCTGGGCGAGCACGCCGAGTGGGCAAAGTACAGCAACTTTGAGGTGGCGCTGCGCGTGCCGCTTATCATACGCAGTCCAGAGTTTCCATTGACCCAGCCTCGTCCCATGCACAGCATCACCGAGCTGCTGGATGTCTTCCCTACGCTGGTGGATCTGGCCCATCTGCCGCCGCTTCCAGCGTGCAATAGAAGCAGCAGCGTGCTGGAACAGTTGACCTGCTCCGAAGGGAAGAGCCTGTACCCGCTGCTCCAAGGCATGGGATTGGGTGAGTTCCATGCGCGCTTCTGCGGCGACCTTTAGCTAAATCTTTACATCCCACAGCCGAGGAGCACGTAGCAATCAGTCAGTACCCGCGTCCAGGTATGCTGCCCACAAAGCATCCCAATAGCGACAAGCCCAAGCTGCGCAATATCAAGATCATGGGCTATAGCCTGCGCACGAATTACTATCGCTATACGCTCTGGGTGCGATTCCATGCCCATAACTTCAGTCGAGGTGAGTAAGCGGATTGAGGAGTTCTTCGAGGTATTTGCCCTTAAGGTAGATGTACCTTTAAGTTAAAGAGAGTGCCCGAAATTATTTGATCGAAAAAATCAAAAGGCGAAATATTTTCTGTTGAATGTATTTAAAAATATTCCAGTCGATTGTAGGATAATAAATGGATAAAAATAATGTTTTTTTTAAATATTTGCAGATTGGCACAACATCTACGGCGAGGAGCTGTACGATCATCGTTTGGATTCCGGCGAAGAGTTCAATTTGGCTGCGCTGCCGGAGTTCAATGCAATACGCCAGCATTTGCGCTGCCGTCTGATTGAGGCCGTGGGCTAAAATCCCGCTTGGGTCAAATTCAACAATTCATATGCATTATAGGAAAAACATGGAAGAGTTAAAGAAATAAACTTCCCAAATTATAAATAGAAAATAACTGTATTTGCGATTAGACGAGTTTGTATACCAGGAAAGTGTGTAAAATAGAGTATTGAAGTATAAGTTATTTTAAAGGATACATAAAAAATTAAAATAATAAAGTATTTATAATAATATAAAATTAAGTAGTAATATTATCTTTCATTAATATTATAATAATATTTTAGTGTTATCTCTTTCATTAATATTTTAATATTTTTAATTCATTTTATATAATTGATATAAGATAAATAATATTCCCCATTGAAGTTGGTTACATTATGCCAATATTATAGGGTATGTATTAGTTGCGAGCCATTTTTTGCCTCTCCACTCTTGTCGCAGTTCGTGCCGCGCCGCGCTGCCCCGCGCATGCGTGACTTGTGTCCGTTGCCTTTTCCGTTGCTTCGTTTTGTGAATATTTGTGAATGAAATTTCATTGAACGTTGGCTCTTGCCGCTGCCGCCGTTGACAGCCAAGCTTCGCCGTCGCCGTCGCAGTCGCCGTTGGCGTAAGCGTCGACGCCCATGCTTCAAAGCCAGAGCTGTTGCCAGGCGGGTGAAAATATGTTGGCGCTGTTTGGCTGGGTAATTAAATCTGCAGTCGTCGCATCGCTTGATCAATCTGGTCTGCCCCTCCCCCCGCTCCATTTACCGGCAACTTGCGCCCTGGGCCAACGCTCGCCAGCTTCCAGCTCCCAGCTCCATTCAGCTGCGCTCTCCAATTGCACACCTACATACCTGTGCATACACACATGCACACACACACACACACATGCACATGTGTGTCTACTATTTGGCGTGGGCTATGCTGGGAGTCGGCTGTGTTGGTGGCTCCGCTTGTCATCTGGCCATATGGGCCGTTTCTTGAGGTGATTAAACTGAATTTTTGGCAGCGCTTTTACTCGCAATGGGCGTTATGGACCACATTTTCCGCTAGCCATGCAGCTGCTGGCATTGTGTGTGTGTCCGTGTGTGTGAGGTGGGTGTGGCAGATGCCATAAATTGCAGTATGCATATGTATATATACATATATACATATGCACATACGTATGCATATGTGTAGAGCAGCCTACTCGTATAAATTTCGAAAGCTGTGCTTAAACGCGTATGCGTTTAGATATACCCTGTTAATTTATGCAAGTGTTCAAAAAGGGTATTACATATAATTGTAATAGGCTCCGGTCAACTTCAATCTAGATGCATATCTAGATGCTATAAATATGTCTTTCAGATTATATATTCATTTGATTTCATCTTTATTATGATTTGAATATTATGTTAAATATTATTATCACCCTTATTAGCAGTATTATTACTGTTATTATTGTTAAAATTTATATTATTATAAATGATTCTAAGCCCTTGCCGAAGTGGAGATAGACCTCAGGAGGGAGTTTCTAGTGGAATCCGCACATACTACAATGCGTCGGCAATGTGAGATGCAGAAATTCCGCAAAAAAAGGTATTTTTAGCATTACTATGAATATTACTATTACTATTATTGCACTTTTTATTATCAGAATTTCTATTCGTACTATTGTTATTTTTATAGAATATAAATAACCAAAGTGGTCAACATCTGAGAATTGAACTCGAACATTCATCATCAGTTCGACTAGTTATCAACAAAAGGTTCTATAACATTTTCTACATACCAAAAAGGAACATAAACTGGGTAATAGTTACTCTACAACATACTGATCTCCATTCTCAATTGCAGCTCACGAACTTCCGGCGTGGCCAAAGCCATTTTCTGCTATAGTTAAAGAAATGCAGAAAGTGTTCTTTCAACAGGTTTTCCTAGAGTATTTTGTGTGTTGAGGCAAGGTATGTTGGTATGTTAATGTGGAGATCCATGCATTTAAGGCATTTAAGAGTAAATCAAAGATGAGAGGAATCTGTTTAATTGTTCAAAAGGCGACGGCTGGCAAATGTTGTTGTAAGACAGGCTCGAAAAAAACTCGGTAAAAAAAGCTATAAAGCTAACAAGTAAATTTAGTAAAATAAAGCAACAAACACACACACAAACACACGCGTACAAAAAACCACTCAAAAGATGTGAGTTTGAGTATGGCAACTAATGTGAATACATGTGAATACAACTATATATATATAATGAAAATTTGTAGGTTGTTGTCGTGGTTGTTGTTTATTTCTAAGCTAATTCAAATGCGTGGGCGTCACAAACGAAATTGCAAAATATGCGTAGGCTGTGGACATGTGTGTGTGTGTGTGTGCGTGCGAGTGTGTGTGTATGTGATACCTCAACAACAACGCTGCGTTCTTTCTTACCTACGCACAGTTTTCAAGCAACTGAACATAAAACGTGGTGCTCGCTCGATGCCCGATGCCCGATGCTTGGCTTCAACGGGCTCCCAACTTTAGACAACGCGTCGTCGTCGTCGTCGTCGTCCCGCTCAAGTTGGCCTAAGAAAAAATGCTAATTTCGGTTGACATGCCATAGTTTGGCTAAGGCTAATGACGAAGGTTGTTTGTTAGCTCCGTCAGTTGATTTAATTTTCAATACCCTGAACCCATCGAAAATGCGTAAAATGGGCATATTGGCTTTGTGAAGTAAGTTTCTTCTTGATCAGCATCAACTGTCGAGTGGATCTTGCCAGCTCTGACTGTCCGTCTGTCCGTATGTATGATCGATTTGAAAGCTTATAGGAGATTAAGATTATAAGATTAAGAATCTATATCGACAACATGTTTTTTGATCACATCTCGAGGCTTATCAGGGCTAGAGACTTAAGTACCTTGTGGCGTTCCAAAACACTGAACTTTTTGGATACCTCTGCCAAGTCAGGCATAGTCTTGGGTTCTGGTATATGCAAACTTCTAAATTGCATATTCAAGCCCTGATAGTTTAATGAAGATCGGACCAAAAAGCTGTGAAATTAATCAAGTATGCATATCCCATATATAGTTTAGGACCAAGGCAAGAAGGGACACAGAATGTTACTTAATAGGACTTAAGACTCGCACCTGGCATTAGGGCATCTGCCAGTCGAGTACTTCCGACTGGAGCATTCTTACTTTTTTTTAGATGGCTAGTAAACTACGTTGCCCATAACTGGTTGCCAGCCGAGACGGCGATAGAGGGGCGGAGCGCGGGCTCTAAATTTCTTTTGACGGAATCTCCATGAATTAATGTTGGGCCGGATTATGCCAACTGATCATCATCAGCATCAGCATCATCATCATCATCATCATCATTATCATCAGAATGAGCAGCAGCGGCCTCTCCTCAGGCGCTTGCCACTTTAAATACATATGTATATGATACTTATGCCTTTAACAGATGTCAAGCTGTGTCAAGCTGGAAATTTTGGGTGATTACTTATGCTGATGAGACCCGAGAAGCGCAGCTCAGCTGACAGCCGAGTTTGCCAACTAACAACTGGCACACGTTAAAATTGCTTTTTATGGCAACAGTAAAGACAACAGCTTTAACAAAAAACTACGAGATGAGACTTTGGTATTAGACCAGCCAACAGATCTGTGGCTTAAATCTCTGCTGTGATCTTCGGATAACTATTCCAATCGAGCTATTCGCAGATACCCATGCCTAGGCCTCATTGGTGGCTTCTCAATGTCAAGGCCTGATCGCTTCATCAGCGCATTTCTTCAGCTTCAGCTGCTCCCCGAAAAAAACTACGAGCGATGATAGCCTTGGCCATAAAAAAGAAGACACGACAATGCCAAAAAGAAATTGGTCAAGCAAAAAATATTTTGAATGAAATTCCAGCGACGCAGACATACAAACAATAAAAACAAGCAGAACAAGCCGGAGCATGCTCTGGGAATGGGTGACTAGGAGATACCCTCTGCTTGGTTAATATACTTTTAAGTTTCTCCAGTGGGTAGAAGATAGATACAATATGAAAGCCTATGGAAAAGTGAAAAGGTAAAGCATCAGGTAAGCTTTGATTTTTTATTTTTAAATAGAACTGGCTACTATCATTCAGATATTGTAGATCTTCCTCACAAGTGTTTATATACATAATTATATATATTATACCCTAGCTAATAAATACAGGGTATAGAAAGTGTTCATTCAATGGGCACAAAGGTTGTGAAGAGGATTCCCAACCGTCTTGTCTTGTAGCAACAAAATAATTTATTGAAATTCAAATTTATTATCCGCTGTTCGGGCTTGGCCCCGGCCAGACGCTCAGTTTGTCAGTTTTTTTGTTGGCTTGGTTTTGATATTTTCCCGTTTGGTTTTTGGGGTTTTTATTTTTTCTTTCAACCTCTGAAAGCAAACCCAATTCAGCTGGAATGCAACACATATGGCCCAGAGCGTTAAACATAACTAAACGAAACAATCAAGAATGAGTGTAGAAATTCCAGAATGAGCCCACGCAGCGACCAGATCTGGCTTAGGGCAGCGGGACGCGGGCAGCGGGCAGCGGATGACCTAGCAAGGGGCAGCGGGGTGGCGGACAGAGGCAATGTGATCAACGTTTAGCTGAACGGATTGCGAGTAAAACGAGAAAATTTTTGCTCGTTTTGCTGGCATTTTACATGTGGCATAAACAAATACGAGGGCGCAGCCCGGCGCAGAGCAGCGATCGGGGGCATGGGAGGAGGTGAGGGGTATTTTATTTTAGTGAAGAGTGAAGACTGACCGCCAGGCAAATAATTTGAAAAGCAACACGGGCAGCCGCTGTAACGCGTGCTAAACAAGTTTTGTCGATCGGCAACGAAGATCGTCTTTTATCTTTTGTCTTTGGCCCTTGGATCTGGACCTGGACCTGGACCTGGACCTGGACCTGGCTTCAAAAGGTTTGTCCTCTGGCCGTTGCAGTGCTTTTCGGTGCTGGTTTACCCAAAAGGGGTTGAGTTTTGAGGCTCCAGCATGAACGAAATATGCCAGCCCCAGCCACGCGGACTGTCCACATAAAAGACATTGAGAAATCGTTTAGCTGTGCTGCTGCTGCTCCTTTCAGCCAAGTTTTTATGATTATAAATATTTATGCCTTCTTCTTGGCTCTGCGCTGGGTCTGCTGCCTCAATTCAAATCGACAACGACAACGACGACGACGACGACGAAATAAAAATCTCATTTTTACAGACAAGACTCGAGATGCTGCCCAGGCTAAAATCGTTGTCCCCATGCCCGGCTCCGTCTGCG